GGCCGCGGCTGCCGCGTGCTCCCTGCCGCCCTCGACGTCCGCACGGCTGCGGGGACCTGGGGCACCCGGGGCTCAGGCTGGGACCAGCTGGGGCTGGAGCTGGGTGCGGACGGCGCCCCGACAGCGAAGGCAGCGCGGGGACACCCGAGGCCCGCGACAACGGCCGGACGGGGCTGCGGCCGGCGCCGCGCTCCTCTGCCCGCGTCCCACCCCGCGCGGGCCGACCTGCCCGGCCCTCTCCTGACACCTAGCGGACGGCTCCGGCCGCGGACGCCCAGGTGCCTGTTGGCGCGCCCTGGCGACGACGGCCTGGGGCTCACCTCTGCCTTTCTCAGGCCTTCAGAGGCCTTCCTGGGTCAAGGTGGGGGCCCCGCGGAAGGGTCGCGGAGGTGACACGCGGTCTCCAGTGCCCTTGGGGAGAAGTTGCTCCCCGGGGCACGAGAATATCCTCGGGGAAACTCAGAAGGATTGAGGGGGAGCTTAAGGGGAAAAGAAGTGGGGAAGGAATTCAAGAAAAACCTGGAGCCCATCCCCTCACCCCTGTGTGCTCCTTCCTACAGCTGTGCCCCTGCGACAAGGTGCTCCAGCCCTGAGCGCCATGGCCGGCCTCCCGACCACGCCTTCTCCTGCAGGTAGGTAAAGGCCTTCCCTGATTCAGTGGAAGAGCACTGTTCGACAGTCTGTACCCCAAAACAAGACCTGGAATTCCTTGAGGCCTCAGCCTTCCTCCTGCTTTCTGGCTGCTACACAAAGGAAGAAGTCCTGGGAGCGTGTAGCAGATACGTGTGTCCTTCAGTGCGGGTGTGTTCTCAAGTCTGGTGGACCAGGCCAGTTCCTGGCACTACCAGTTACCAGTTAAAGTATTCTAACCTTGGCTTATAAAGTTCTTTTGTAAGTGTAAGGGAACAGCTTTATATTCGCCCTCTAATAATTCACAGCTGAGGCAAAAAGGGTGGCAATCACCCTACAGTTAAATGTGGAAAAGGAATCTTCCAAAGATAACAGGGAAGGAAACGAATAGCAAAGCCAGCCAAGATGGTGGGGCAAGCAAGTAATCCCAGGTGCTTTGGAGGTTGAGGCAGGAGGAGAATTGGGAGGAGGATTGCTTGAGCTTGGGTGTTGTAAACCTCGGGGAGGGGGCCAGCAAAACGTGTTAAAGGTAATGCTGCCCGGATTCCTTTCCTGGGTTGTAAAATAGGAAAAGGGTGCCTATCTTATGAGGCTGTTTGTGAGGACTAAAGAAAATCCGTATTAAAACACCTGGAAGCAAGTCTAGCATCTAGAAAGCACTAGTAACAGTCGTTATTGCTGAGCATTTATTAGAAACCCACCTTTCCCTGGAAAGGGATTCTGCTTTCTAATTTCATTTCTCTGATGATACAGAGCCAGTATCAAAACTATTCTCTGGAAGTATGTGGAGTCAGGGATCTACCTATCATACTGAGAGTGGTTCTTGCCTTTCATTTTATAATCTGGGCAGTCAGACTCGCTATCAGATCGGGTGAAGAACAAATCCTTCATTGGTCTGTATTCTTTTGTTTTCATACAGTCTCATTTGTCAGAACCAAGATTTCTGCTTTTATTGATATGGAAACAAATGTGTGACAATCCCAGGGAAGGTCTCAGCATCTCCTGTGATTGGTGATGCATATAATTCAGATTTTTCTTTGGCAAGAAGAGATAGAAAAAAGGAGAAATGGGCAGAAGTCTAGATTGGTCCACAAAGGCCTCCCACTTGGGGAAGGAATCTGAGCACCCTGGGAAGATGGACAAAGTTTGCACAGGCGAGGAGGGGAGCAGCGGAGAGTCTAAATGAAAAGTGCCAAGTGTGGAGCTGCAGAGACTGGGTTTACCCGAGGGTGTTCTGGAGTAGCTGAAGTATTTCCAAAATAAACCTCCCCCCCCCAGGGAAAAAGAGGTGAACCCTGGGCAGCGGGCTTAGGGGTTAAGAAACTATTTACATTCTTTTTTCTTCCTTTTTAAAATTTTGTGGTAAAATACTCGTACTACAAGTGTTAGGCTTTGAACATTTCTTGGTGTACAGTTCAGTGGTATTAAGTTCATTCACATTTTTGTACTGTGCTATCATCACCACCATCCATCTCTAAGACTTTTATTTTCCCAAACTGAAACTCCAAACTAACTCCTCATTCCATTCTCCTCCAGGCCCCTAACAACCACCATTCTACTATGTGTATGAATTTGACTGTTCCATGTACTTTATATAAATCGAATTGGGCCAGGGATACAGCTCAGTGGCACATCTCCTGCCTAGTAGATACAGGGTCCTGAGTTCAATTCCCAGTACCAAAAACATACAAAATAAATAGAATAGTATTGTATTTGTCCTTCTGGGTCTGGTTTATTTCGCTTATCATGATGCTTTCAAAGTTCATCTATGTTTTAGCATAAGTTAAAATTTCCCTTTTAACTGAGAGTAATAGTCCCATTGTGTGCTTTTGCTACATTTTCTTTTCTTTTTTTGTTCTTTATCCATCTGCTGATCAGCATTTGGGTTGTGTCCACATTGTGGCTACTGTGAATAAGACAGCTGTGAACGTGGCCTACAAATACCCATTTGAATCTCTGCTTTTCAATCCTTTGGCTGTATATCCGGGAGTGGAATTGCTATATTATGCCATAATTCCATGCTTAATTATTTCTGAAAAACCACTGTACTTTTTGTGTTTCATAGCACCTGTACCATTGGATGTTCCCACCAAAAATAAACAAAGGTTTCGGTTTCTCAACACCCTTGCCAGCACTTCCTATTCTCTGGTGTGTTTTGGTTTTTAGTAGTAACCATCCTAATGGGCATGAAGTGATAGCTCATTGTTGTTTTAACTTGCGTTTTCCTAATGACTAGTTATACTGAGCATCTGAGTATCTTTGGAGAAGTATCAGTGTTAAATCCTTGCCCATTTTTCACTGGAGTTGTTGTGTTGTTGTTGCTGTAGAGTTGCATACTTACATTCTTGATCCAACAAACGAAATGCATAGGGTGGTATTAAAGGACATATCATCTAGTCCCTGCCCACTGGGTTCCAGCAAATATGAGTTTAGGGACAAGAATGGAGGAAAAAATAGCAGTGACACAGAGAAGAGAGCTTGTTTATTGAACAACGGGATCACTGAGTCCAGCTTTTTACTCTACACCATCTTGCACTTGCTCCATCCCTCCACCCTCCCTAGGCCTCCACCTGTGTCCCTTTCCTGTCCCTTTTCCCCATAACAACATGAGAGCTGCATTATGATGTTACTAGGCCCTAGGAAGTTTTGCCTCTATGGGTTCTTTTCTATTAAAAAAAAATGTTAAAAATTGTACTTTAGAGGGCCTGGCATATAGTTCAGCAGTGTACTGCCTGCCTAGCAAGCATGAGGCCTAGAGTTCAATTCCGGGTACCAAAAAAAAGAAAAAGGGGGCATGGTGTAAAATTTTTACTTTACAACTGCATTAGTGTAAGAAAGACTATAATACCAATATAATAACATATAAGTAATAATTGGTACAATATTTATTTGAGCCAGGTATGGTGATGGTAGTGTACATCTGTAATCCCAGCACTTGGGAGGCTGAGGCAGGAGTATTGCCATGAGTTTGAGGCCCACCTGGGCTACTGAGTGAGTTCAAGGCTTGGCTAAAAAAAAAAAAAAAAAAAAATATATATATATATATATATATATATATATGCTTTTTAAAGGATATTAAAAATCATTAAAATGAAATCATTAAAAACATTTTCATGGGCCCTTACAAGTATTATAGACTCTAGATACTGCCCCTGTATAGAAGTCAGGCCTGTTGAAATTGGGCAGAGTGGAACCTTGCCTTGTAGCCACTGCCCACACTACCACCTAAAGCCAATCTCTTACCAGCAAATAATTACACTAGCCCCTTTGCAGGCTGCCTCACCAGGTAGTAGATGCTTAGCATTTTTCATCCTACTTATTCCTTACCCATAATCCTTTGTAGCAGGTTTCGTTCTCATTTTAATGAAGCAAAAGCTGGGTCTCAAGAAGTTAAGAAGTTTTCACTAATTAAAAGAATTTCTGGGGCTGGAGAGATGGCTCAGTGGTCTAAAGCACCTACTTAGAACAAGCTTAGCAAAAGCATCAGGGACCGCGGTTCAATCCCCCAGCACCACATGCCAGCCAGCCCGCCCCCTGGTGGGCTGAGCTGGCCTCTCTCTCTCTCTCTCTCTCTCTCTCTCTCTCTCTCTCTCTCTCTCTCTCAAATAAATAAATAAATAAAATTTAAAAAAAAAAGAATTTCTACTGGGCATAGTGGCACATACCTGTACAGTAATCCCAGCACTGGGAGGCTGAGGCAGGAGGATTGCTGTAAATTCAGGGCCAACCTGGACTACATAGACAGACTTTGTCTCAAAAAAACAAAAAACTCCCAAGCACTTCCCAAGGTGGTGTGGCTAGTAATGGCAGAGGCAGGGTTTTGTGCCAAGTCCAACTTATTTCCAAGCCTGTGTTTTTTCAGTCACGATCTACTGCTCCCAAGGTCTCATTGTAGCCCACTGGCCAGGCCAGCACACATGAAAGGGAAGGACAGAGGAGCAGAATTCTCTGGCAGGGCTCCCACTGAACACAGCTGGGGGAACTGCCCTTTGCTGGTAAGGTCTAGAGCAAATGAGTAGGTTGGCAGCTTCCAGAGGAAATGGATCTGATGCCTTGGTGATAAGGGATTTAGCTCCACCTGGGAATAAGGGCCACAGAGAAACCAACCAGTAGTATCTGGGTCAACAAAAAGAAGGGTGAGCGAGCAGAGTAAGTTGTGAAGGTCATTTGCTGTCAGTTAGGATTTGGGTGGGACCTGTATGTATGTATGTATGTATGTATGTATGTATTGGGAATTGAACTCGGGACCTTACACTTTCCAGGCATGTGCTTGTGCCACTGAACTATATTCCCTGCTGGAACCTTAATCTTATAGTCCTCTACCTCCACTCACAGTAAAAATGATATAGTATTTGCAGACTTGAGGAGGGAAGATAGAGGTTAATAGTATTTCCTCATTTGGACAAGATGATCACAAAGAACAGGAGTAAGATGAGAGGTATGAGGGGACGTTGTCCTTTCTGTGCTTCCCCCACCAGCTCTTTTTTATTTAAGTCCTAGGGATCAAACCGAAGCCTCACACATGCTAAGTGTACAGTCCACTACTGAACTATATTCCTAGCCCATTGCCTCCCTTTTCATGCCAGGCTTCCTGAACTTAGCTTACTGTAGTAGTGGTGTTAATTTTTTCATCTATAAAGTAATGCATGTCTCACTGCATGTGATGGCACACACCTGTAATCCCAGCACTCAGGAGGCTGAGGCAGAAGGATCACCATGAGCCCAAAGCCCCCCTGGGCTACATAATAGATGCAAGGCAAGTCTGAACTGCATAGTGAGACTGTCTCAAAAATAATAATACATGCCTTTTAGGGACTAGCTTTTAGAGAATAGACCTTTTTGTGTACAATATAGATTTTTTTTTTACAAAGGTATAACCGTATTACACATGTTGTGGCAGTTTTCTTCATGCAATAGTATACATAAATCTGTTCCAGTGATATTGCAAATCTACCACTTTTTCTTGGTGGTAGTGGTTGTGGTAGTAGGGGGGTCTTGCTTA